CTACGAGTTAAATATTGTTTTAAAGACATTAAGGTGTACTTTAAAGTAACAAATTTTTTTGAAAGTCCTAGACTGGCCTAACCCCTTAAGTGTTGAAATGACCAAATCGAGAAGAGTTCAGTGTTACATAAAGTTTCAGAATGGGTTTAACCTGGCAACCAACGAAAATATTGAGACGGCCTTGTTCGCTTATACGAACCATTAGACATTTTAAGAAAATGTGGTAGTTAGGCTATTACAAGTACATATGTATGTCGAATACCGCAATATTAGCATGCAGTGAATGTTTTCTAAAATATGATGAATATTTGGACATAATTTTCATTTCACTCTCATTTCACTTTCATTTAAGGGGGCTCGAATTTCGATTTTTAAGATCAATAGTTCATATACAAGTAAACTGTTATCTGCAACTGTTGGACAAAAATTTAGCTCTAGAAAAATAATTAGGCTGCAAAATTTACATTGTTATTGGTCATTAAAATATTTGTTAGTCATTAAAATATATGAAAACTACTTTAATCTCGACATTACATATATGTAGTATAATTCTGTATACATATTTTGAACCTTTTATTCGACCAGCAACAACAACAAAAGCATTTCAGGTATAATACAAAGATCATTCATAACCACTTACACTTTATCAGACTTGTGTTACCTGCCCGCACCTTTAGACATATTTTAGCGGCCGAAAGCCACAAATCGCTTCACTTTAAGACTTACGCGCAATAAAAATGAAGTAAAAGATTCTCGAATGACAAGAAAAGGCTGGAAAGGTCAAAAGCGATGATTCCAGATTTCTAACAAAACTGTATGTATAAGTACATCTTCTAATTCATTGCGTACACAAGTAGGTAAGGAACTTCTTGGCACACACACACAAAGTCAATTTAGCTTCAAAGGCCAACAATAACGCACACGCTTCAAAACCGCACTCGAAAACAAAATTATTAAATATTTATGTACATGCAAGCACATACATATATTAGAATATGAAGGAAACAGGAGATCGAGCAAAAGTGATACAGTGTAAATGAGTAAATAGAGCTTGTTTGGAAAATGACAACGCATTATATGTACTTATATACTATGTATGTACTTATATACAGATAAGTATACTATGAAAGTGTGAATATACTCGCATATACATACATATGTAATGGTTATTAAGAAATAAACATAATGCAACTGCTTGTAATCGCATTAAAATATTAAATCGAAATAAATTAATTAAAGTGCATAATTACTGCATGGATGCAAGGTCAATAATTATAACAAATTATAAGTAGAGTTTTGATGCAAGTATAATGACAAGTGGAGAACTAAACTCCCACTTGCTGATGGATTTACTATTTGAGAAAAATTTCGTGAAGATATCTTGTCAAATAAAAAAGTTTTTCATACAACAACTTAATTTTGATCGATCAGTTTGTATGGCAGCTTTACGTTATAGTCGTCCGATATTGCTTATTCCGACAAATAAGACATAATATGATGAGAAAAGAACGTGTGCAAACTTTATGACCGATATCTCAAAAACTGAGCGCCTAGTATGCATATATACAGATAGACAAACATGTCTAAATCGACTTAGCTCGTCAAGCTGATCACTTTTATGTATGTATATACATATGGACATACATATATTTTTATAGGATATCCGATGTTTTCTCCTGAGTGTTACAAATATATAAGGTACAATAAAAGGTTTAATTAGTAATTAGTTCGGCAAATAATTTTTCAATTATAATATTAGCTGTCTTCAATTAATCAAGGGTTACAGAGTAGGGAATCAAACAATCATTATCAGTTGTCAAACAAAGTGATGTAATCTTGAGAAAGATTTGTTTATTCTACAGACTACGATCTTCAGAAAAAACGAACATTAACCACGAAAATTATGCTTAAAAAATTGCCTATTTCAGCAAAAATTTTGATTATTTTCATTTTAAAAATGGTCTAAAAAAATGTTTTTATTCTCTTTAAAAAATAAGATAGATGAAGAAAATCAATTTGGAAAAGTGGTTTCGAGAAAACGCCGTTCACAGTTTGCGCTTCGTGGTCGGCGCCAACCACTTTCAAGTAACATATGAGTACGAGTATCTTCCACAATTTTTCAATTCGTCTTCGGGTTTTTCCCCCCTTAGCAGTTTCTTGGCCTTGAGAATTTACAGCCTGTATATGTACATATGTACCTATATTAAGGTTACAAATATTATTTTTGACCTTCAGCATGTAAAATATGTGAACCAAGGTTCACAATCAGGGAACCTTAGCCTTCAATAAAAGTTCAACATCTAGCATCACGATTTTAACCGTTGGACCAATATTCTAAAATAACAAATTTTTTTAAACATTTTTTATCAAATAACAACAATAATAAGTAGATAATCAATTGAAGAACAAATCGATTCTTACATATGTATATGTAAGTACAAAGCGACCCTCACAAAAACTAATCTAATTGCACACCTACTTTATATCTATAAATCATTTTTTTTTTTGCTATTTTTTAGAACGCAATCACAATATCCTGCTATTAAATATATACATATGTATTAGGGTGGAGTGAATAACAATTTTTTTTACTACCTTGTGGATAAAATCTATAGATTATAAAAAAAGAAATTTTTTGGACAAAAACAAATTTTTTTTAACATCTAGAGGCGGCCCACTCAGTTTTAAAGTAAAGTATCAAGTTAAAATTTGTATTTTTTAAAAAAATTTTGATAAGTGTTCCAGAAGCTGTGGAGAGTCCTCTTTCTGGCCAATTAAAAGTTATCAAGTAAAAAAATTTTTTGTGGTCATTACTGGAGTTTAAAAAAGAAGTCTTTAACGACAATATGCTTTTCGTAAACGATAAAATAAATTTTGAGTGAGGCGGCCGGCTAGATGTTAAAAAAAATTTTTTTTTTTGTCCAAAATTTTATTTTTTTATAATCTACAGTTTTTACCCTTAGACTAAGCAAAAAAAATTATATTTTTCGCTCCACCCTAATATGTATGTACATATGTATATACATTTACATATATGTCTATATTTACATATTTTCATATTATATCCGCATATGTATGAAAATAGAATTGTAATTTGACCTAGTAAACAATGTTACTAATCGCACATTTTTGATTAAAACTATTGCGACTCTTACTCTCTTTCCTTTCAGATCTTTTACAATTGTAAAATGCGTAATTTAATATATGTATGTATGTATATGTAAATGACAAAGCATAAATAAAACTATTGTTCGAGTAGATATATACATACATATTTACATACATATAGATAAATTTAAATTTAGAATGCAGTGGCTGCCTATTTCGCAAAACAAACTGTGACAAAAATCAAACAAAAATAGGGTCAAAAAAATCAAAAAAAAACTTGTTTTGCCAATAACAGAACCGCCAGCAATAATAAAGTAATGTAGTCAACGCAACAAGTGTAATCGCCAGATCAACAACAACTACACTGCCGCAGAGCATACACACCCACTTTAGTGCAGAGAGAGTGGTGGGTGTGTGTGAGAGCGTGTAGTAGGAGAAGTGTCCACCGCAGTTATGCGCCGCAGCTGAGTAGTTGTTGCGTAGTTTTTTTCTAACATATAACAATAATAATAAATATGAAACAAAAATAAGTAATGCGCAGTTGCGAGCAGAAAATTAGCAAGGAATACAAAAGTATACATAATAACGTGTATATTTAATATACTTTATTCTCGATCATAATCTTGAAAAAAATACAACTGTGTTCATGGAAATAGCAGTGCAGAGGACCTACATTTTTTCTAGAATCCTAGTGTAATTTTAACTTGATAATTTATTTATTTTTGCATACAAAACATAAAAATTATTTTTTGTTCAATATTATTTATGACATGATGAAAAAGAAGATAGAAACGATAAATTGTGGTATTTACTGAAATAAAAAGAAAAATAAGATGATTTTAAAATTGTTTATGTATAAAAGAAAAAATCAATTTTACCCGAAAAAAATTATAGGAAGTGCTTAAGATAACAATAACAAGTCTAATATATCTTTTGTAATTTATTTTGCCTTCAAATCAATTGAATTGAAGTTAAAAAACAAAAAAAAAACTTTTTTATTATACTATAAAATTTTTTTAAACAATCAACAGCGCAAGCAAGCATACAAAGAGTCATTATTAGGAAATTCAATATTAGAATTTAAATATTTAAAAATTATATAAGACCACTAAATGCATTATCAACTCTAATCTATTAATTTTAACAGACTGATATAGCTTACATATCCATAAATAGGCTTAGAAAGATAGATTTATTTAACCAATGAAAATATTTTATATGTTCATTAAAACTGGTCTCTTTTGATGATAAAAATATTTATCTCCATTGATTCAAGGAACCATGTAAAACATTCTTCACTTTTCAATTCTTCTAATAATAATAATATTTATCTCCATTAATTCCACTCGTCTTGATAAAAAAATTTACTTTGAAAAGTACAAGAATATTCTAGAAACAATTATGTTTTGTATAATATCGCTCAACTTATTTAAGTATGAAATTTCGAAAATAAAAATTTAAAACTAACTAACATTTGAAATGACTATTTCGAATATTTTATGAGTTCAATTCAATTAACTCTTTCAGTTTATCTTCAACCGCGTTTCTCTCAAAATAGCATTTCAAACTTTTTATATACTATTAAAATTTTAAAACTATTAATATAGTATTTTTTTTAATTACCAAAAGTGTGTTATAAAACATTTCTCAGCATTGTTCTGAAAAATTTTACACAAATTATTATTTAATATCATTTTATTTAATTTTCGTTTTTGCTGATAATTTTCAATATCAGCAAACCAAAATAAAGTCTACAATTGTTTTATATTTCTATAATTTTCTTTCATAAGTAACCAATAAATTTTAACATTAAATTTTAATTAATTATATAATTGAATTAAGCATTAAAAAGTGCAAAATTTTCGAAAAAACTGTCTTCTTCTTTATATCTTAAAATGTTGTAGTAAGTTGAAGACATACTTTTTGACTGATACTACTTTTCTGCACGCAACTGTGCATCAAATTAAAATTAACTTGTGGTGTGTATACTAATTAAAGTAACAACCGTGTAGATTACTGAAAAGTAAATAATAAAAATTACAGAGAAACAATAACAAATATATTTCTTAGCAACGAAAAAAAAACAAAGAAGCACCACAGTAAAAATGAAAAATTCTATGTCAAGAAATTTCTAAAAAAAGTCAATATCTCAAAAAAAGGAAACTGTTACATGAAACAAGCCTGCAAAAACAATAGCAAGCAGCAGCAACAACTAGCAGCATTGAAAACTTACAAAACCCTTCAAAAATCGCTTCAAAATAGTGTTTACAAAAACTCTTACAACAAGAAAGAATTACACGTAGAAATAAACAAAACACACTAAAAAAAATCTAACGCCAAAGCCAAAAAAAAACACGATTAAATTATCGCAGCAAACGCGGTAGAAGTAATACATAATGCAACAAGTCAACAGAAGCAATAGTAATCAATGTGTGTGAGAGATCGCTGTCGCCGCGAAGCACTACGCTGAAGCCAAAACAACAGCACTAGTCATTAGCGCACAACAGTCGAACAAGTCCGGCCGTGGCAAATAGTCAGACAGGACGGGCAAACGCTAGAGTGTTATATTATATTTAGTAAATTTCGTGTTAATATTTTTAGTATTACTTCAAATACAATTGAGACGCGCGAAACTTAGCCCACAGAGCATCGAACCGAATTGGATTGCAGCAAATAAAGTAGGTCAAAGCTTAGACAACGACGCGGCACAGCCAGTTAAGGAAGAGGTTTCTTTGTACAAAAAGTTTTAGAGTGCGTGAAGTCAACGAGTTGTGGAAAGGAGAAATCAGCAAATTGAAGCGTGAAGGACGGCTATTTAAGCAGACCAAAGGCACAGGTGGCTCGCAGTGATCGCACATAATTGGTATAGCTGAAATTTGGTTGATTTGTGATTGGTGCTGAAAAATATTTGGAGGAGTGACATGATCAGCGGAAAGCACTAGATTGAACCAGAAGATCATAATATTGGAAGTGAGTCGCAGGTTTTTACTATTGTTGTTACGAGAACAGTTGAATAGAAAGGAGTTTTTGAGCGAGTTTAGTGCTAGAAAATTCAAGGGACTCGTAATAATCTACCGAAATCTGAGATATAAACAACGATCCGATCAACGAAGTCCAAGTAAAAAATAGTCTAACTGCTAAAATAGCAAAAATAATTCAAAGAACCAATAAATAGGCTGATGAATAACGTTGTTACAACATTAACTTATTGTGCAATTGCTTTAAATATCCACGAATTTCAGCAACAATTTTATATTATTAAAAAATATATGCCAAAAACGACGTTCAAACAAAAATCTAAAAAAACGCTGAAAATATTTATCATTCAATCGTACGACTTATTTAATTGACTCATAACCGGCTACAGAGTAACGCGCCTTTAACAGCTGATTATTAACAACGCAGAGAAAAAGGGACAACAAAAAAACACGCCATATTACAAGAAATACCGCTATTAACAAGCTCAGAGTCATAAAACAGTGAACGTGTGCAAAATATAAGAAAAAACTAATTTAAAATTGGAAAAAAAGCATTTTGCGTAAACGTCAATTATTTGTGAGCTTACAAAATAAATTATCGCAAGATAAGTGGCAAATTCGCGTGCCAACACACGAATAATATTGTTATAAACATACAAACATACAAAACTAGTGTAACGTGAAAAATTTGCACATTTTTTTTAAATAAAATAACGAAGCAAACAAATTGCCAAAAACTTAATTACTCAATTGTCAAAAAAATATTTTTACTAGCGTGCAATTGCAATATTTTTTTAATTAAAAAAAAAGTACAAAAATAACAAAAAGGAGCATAATGTCACCAACGTACAATTTACTGCAGCGTCTGCACGCCAAATGCAGCAACAACACACAAAATGTCACTTGGCTGACATTTCTCACAGTTCTCTTGATGCTCTTCGACATGCAGTTTAAGCGAACGGAAGCGCTCAAAGTGACGGTAAGTTACAAGCGGTTGTAATTTTATTTGATGTAATATATGCATTCCGTAAATACCGCTGTTTACATACATATATTACATTACACGAATGTTAAAAAGTATAGCAAAAACAAAAAAAAACTATAAAATGCAGCGGAAAGAGATCAAACGGAAGTAAGGTAGGCTTAAGTACGGTCGTCATCCAAACAGTTTATACCCATGTACCTTACAGATATACAGTGTTGCAAATAATGCATTAAAAAATTCCCAAAATCAGGATTAAAAATTTTTTTTTTAAATTTTATTTTATTTAAAAAAAATTTTTAATTTAAAATAAAGTATTTTTCAAATTAAAAGCTGGAATGAAAAAATGAAGAAGTATAAAAAGGAAAGATTGAAAATTTTATTTAATTTAAAAATTAAATTTCCAGTTTTTAATTCCGATGTGGGAAAAATGAAAATTTTATTTTTTAACCCAAAATTGGAATTAAAACTTGTTAACCTAACTTTTAATCTAAAATTTTAAAATTTTTATTAAAATTTTTTAATTAGTAATTAGAACTCGCAACCCTGCAGGTATATAAACAGTATATAATTCTTCGTAAGAAGTTAGGCCAGCCAACATTAATAATATGTTTAACAAGTAAGAAAAAATAGTTATTAAACTAATATTTGAGTCTATAATAAAAATTTTATATTGACATTTTGATGCAAAATTTCGAATAGTCGGTCAATGTTTGGACTTTTTCAAAGAGAGGACGTTTTCAATAAAGACACCAAGAGTGACTCATTTAAAATCGACTACATTGATTCTTAAGTTGCATCGTTATGTGGCAAAAAAATCATCAACTTTTCAGAAATTCTTACATGCTATAGTTTAAATCGACTTTATATATACTTATGGTATTTTGGTATATGGTATATAGCATTTGATAACAAACATTTACGAAATTCTTAAAGTATAAATTTCTTAAGAATATTTTTCATATATAATATATTTAAGAGTATTTTATATTTTTTAAATCTTTATATGTATGTGGTATATACGGACTGGGGTAGTTCAGACGAAAAAAAATACAGTATATTCAAAAAAATATGCTCACTTAATTTTATTAAGATATCTATTCATACATATTCCCCGCTAGATACGGTATAAAATTAACCGAAAGTTTCAAAATTAATATGTCTGGTTTATGGATCTAGGGGAAGTTCTTAACAGATTTCATCTATCTAATATCATAAACATATATTACAAATTGACTAAAAAATGTGTGCTCTAATATGGGGGCTTAGAAATTTATAGTCTGATGTCGATCATCTTTAAAATGTATTTCGAAAGCAAAAAAAAATGTAGAAAACTCAATATTTTAGCAATTATCAATTAAGTATTAAATTTTTAACGCCACAGCATTTATAATGTCAGAATTGTTTTAAAGTGTTAATGAAATATATGTACTTACCTTCAAACAACTAATTTTCTTATAAAAGTACAATAAATATTTATTATCGGAACTTTAGATACGCCTAGTACGTTTTTGTAAAAACACAAATTCACGTTCTTTGATTTCCAAAATCACTTCATACATATACACACATAACTGTTACAAGCAAACACACATGTGAACTATTTTATAACACCCTGTGCAGCAACTTGCACTTGGCTAGAAAACAAAAACAATTTCAATTGCTTCCATTTCCTGTTGACTGCTACGGCTGCTGCAGCGCAATTGGTTGATTTTTGGGGGCCTGTTCGCTTACATGCGCACACACCTACAAAGATTGTTGTTATGCTCGATATCGCGTGTTGCGCGAGAGCGACTCATGTCTACCACAAAAGGTCGCCACTTGAGAATGATCTAGAAAATATTATATGTGGTCGTAAGACGCGTAAACAAGTTGAATGAATCGGTTTTACAGCTCATGGTTAGTATGTATGGTATCTTGTAGGTAGATATATATTTATATGTATACTTATTTATGTGGAAATATTTTGAATGCGTATACATATGTACATAATTCTAATTGGAATACTGAATTGGAAATATGGCATTATCAGTACATACACACATAATTACTATGAAAAGGTGTTAAAGTGTGCCGTTTATGTTGCCAAAATCGTTTGATTAAGTACACGATTAGGTAAAAGAAAAGTTGTCATAATATTTTTTACGAAATATTGTTTAACTTTGAAGATTGCTAAGAATAATTTCCTTTATGCATTTTTTATATAATTTTATGTATAATTTTTTTATATTTTTTTTTTATTTTTAATACTTTTTTCTACAAAAACAACTTATGATATGTATGTATGTCTATATGAATATACCAAACTTTCTTTAATTGAAAACTATTGCAAAGCAAAAATTCGAACGACCAATTAACACATTTTACACCCATACATACAGATACATATGTATGTATGTATGTATGTATAGATATACTCACCATTTTTGAAAGTCGTGCTAAAATTATTATTACTTAACTGTAAATTTATTATTTAAAAATTATTTAGTATGAAAATTGAAAGTTTCGAACTTTCTTTTTAAAACAAAAGAAGTTATGTTTGTCCTAAGTATTATAACATACTCTACTACTACTTATACATAATTTTACTATTTCCATAAATTTTTTATAAAATTACAGGAAATGGATTCAATGTAAAAGAAATTATTTTAGAATACAAACGCCACAAAGTTTGTGACACCCAGAAAGAAACGTCGTAGACCCTATAAAATTTATACATATACATATGTATGTATAATCAGCAAGTTGAGCTGAGTTGATTTAGCTATGTCTGTCTGTCTGTCTGTATATATGCGAACTAGTCCCTCAGTTTTTAAGCTATCGATCTGAAATTTTGCACCTGTCTTTTTCTCACTAAGAAGCTGCTCATTTGTCAGAACGGTCGATATCAGACCACTATAGCATAAGCTGCCATACAAACTGAACGATCGGAATTAAGTGATTGTATGGAAAACTTTTTCAATTGACGAGGTAACTCACGAAATTTGGCATGGATTATTGCTAAGGCAACAATGTAATCTTTAAAGAAATTTTTAAGACCAGTTCACTATATCACATAGCTGCCATACAAATCGATCGGAATCAAGTTCTTGTAAGGAACGTTTTTATTTGTGACTAGTGTCATAGCTTCGGTGCAACCGAAATTAACGTTTTTTATTGTTTTTATAAATTTTTCAACCCGGTGTTTGGGAATAGAAATTTAAAAAGTATTTTAAGTGTAGATTATAAAATAAAAACAAAATTTAATTTTAATGTTAATTTAATTATTTTTTGAATGAATTATTTGCAACTGTGATCAAAATATTCATATTATACTTTATATACTAAAATTATTTTTATTTTTTTACAAAAATATTTATTTGCTTATTTAATTATTTATTTTATTAAATTTTTTTTTATAATTAACACTTTTTGCTTTTGTTTATATTTAGTCATAAATTTTTGAAAAAAAAATATTTTCGATAAAATATGTATATATTATATTTTAAAAACGTTTTTAAAAACCATTTTAAAGAAAGTTAGATTTTTCAACTTTAAATAAAATAATAGTATAATGCTTATTATGTTTGTTTAGAAGGGATACAAAAGTAGTCATGAAACTACCGTTGCTCGACCGAATTTGAAAGAAAAAATTTTAATTTAAAATAACTAATTATTAACAATTTCCACAGTTTGTATATTCGAAAAGTGTGCTTTTCCAAAAACTGCACTCGGAAATCTATTTCAGGAAAATTTATAGTTTCCTAAGGCTTTATGAGTATTAAAAATTAATTTCTTGTATATGCGCTGATTGCTGACGACAATTCGTTAATAATATTTTATATTTAGTAGCACTTTGCGTCAACAACTCATTTTGAGATTGAACAGACCAAAAAGTTTGCACTTTATTTGTTTTTATTCTCGCATGAAAGACCAATATTTATTTGCGTGAATTTTGCACGCAAGAAATGTAAACAATTAATAATTTATGTTGAACTCACATACACATAAATATATGTGCACTTCGTGGTGAAAAATTCCTAGTAAATAAAAACAATAATAATAATAATGAATTTTGTAAACAAATATGGAAAATAGGGAAATACTATATTACTTTATTTGTATGTTATGGAAATGAAAATAAAAGTGAGAATAAAATAGCAAACAGTATAATAAATAAGTAACCCTTCAAGAACAGTGACAGTCATCCGACCAGTAATATCACAGTCACAGCTGAAAAAATTTTGTCTGCGCGCAGAACAAAGTTTATATCATTTTTTTAAGAGCCTTGTGCAAAAACTGTGGTGAACAAACGTATGTATGTGAGTTTGCATCTCTCTTTAACACATGGATATTCAGTATTGATTCACTATATATCTATACTGCTCACTCTCATGCCGAATTTATATATATCTCATTTGAAAACTCCTCTCTTTCAAAAAAATTTATATTTTTAACACCAAACCCAAAAGAGCCTCGCAAAAAAGCGTACAACACTTTTCATTTGCCGCAAGAAGAACAGTAAAAATTCTTTGCCCAGTTGTTGAGAAACTTATATGGAATTTTATGCGTCCTTTTTGACAGGATTACTTTTGCGCAAAGAGACAAGTGTTAAAAAAATGATGATAGTGAAAAAGTGATAGCAATTGAGCGACAAGTTAAGAATATCAATTTGTGTATATGTAGTTACATACATATATATGTATGTACCATAGCAAGTTTAACCCCGATACAGTCATTGTTGATTGATTTGCAAAGGGGAAAGTAAAAGAATCAGATGGAATTTAAAATGGTGTTATATGGGAAATAGACGTGATTGTAATCTGATTTCGACCATTTTCGCAATATAACACAGAAATATGAGAAGAATGTTATGTACCAAATTTGGTTGAAATCGGTTAAGCAGATCCCAAGATGTGGGTTTTCACCTAAAAGTGGGCGGTGACACGCCCATTGTCGAATTTTGAAAGCGGTTCCTATAAAGTCATTTCATGCCAGCCCAAAGATAAAATTTAATG